GACCATGTGAAAAGTGCGCAATATTATATTATTTTCATAACTTTTTCATCTCCTGTTTACAGTTGCAGACGATCATTCATGTTTTCACAACCTGACTTAAAAATTGATCTCATGAGTACTCCTCACATTTCACTTTTAAACTGTAACTGTATAGTGTAAAAGTTGGTCAACCATTGGAAGCACCTTCTAGCAATAAATCAAAGGCTTAGGGGTCAACCTTTTGAAGCCATAATCGAAATATCCTTTTAATTACCATTTTGTGCTGCGCTAGATCTTAAGCTTTTAAAAGACACCTCAATCGTAAAAATCAGTGAAGTAGGTCGGGTGTTGAAAAGGACTGTTACAACTTATTGAATTATAAATATGGATAATGTTAAAACAGACATCGACATATCAAATCAAATCAAATCAAAATATCCTTTATTCATTTAAGTACAATTGTACAGGAATAGAGTCAGATCTTACAAAATAAAATGTTTTACATTTAAGAACTAAAAATAAGACAGAATATTTATTTTATTTGTTCTCCCAAAACTCTTCAAGAGAATAAGGGGAAATTTTAATCAAATACTGTTTCAGACAATTTTTAAACTTTTTTGTATCATTTTCATTTAGAAGTATTTTTGGAAGATGGGACATAAATTTATTTCCTGCGAATTTTGTTTTCTTTTTATAAAATTCTAGATTGTGTCTATCAATTTGAGATTGAGAACGAGTGTTATAATTATGACTAATTTTGTTTGATACCTGAGTTTTTGTAATATTTTTTGCATAAATAATAGTTTCCAAGATATATAGTCCATGAACAGTTAGTATTCCAAGATCGGTAAAAATATGTTTTACCGAATCTTTCCTTTTCAAATTAAACATTGCCCTAATTGCCCTTTTCTGGTACGATAAAATCCGTTTTAAGTTTTTTGATGTAGTTGCTCCATATATACTGATTCCATAAGCTAAATTAGAATGAACTAAGGCATAATATATTGATATTAATGTTTTTAAGCTGCAAACTTTATACATTTGTCTTAAAGCAGATACTCCTGAAGACATTTTTTTGATAACATGATCAACATGTTTGTCCCAGGCTAGATTTTTATCAATTATTAAACCAAGAAATTTTGTATGTTCTACCTGTTGTAATTTATAATCTTCTAAGATTATGTCTGGATTTAATTTGTTTTTGTTTTGTTTTGTAGAAAATGATACAAAATTAGATTTTTCAGGGTTTAAAAGAAGGTTTTTGCTATCTAAGAATTTTTTTATGATGGAGAACTGACCAATGATGATGCCTCAATACTTTCTTTTGAATTTCCACAAATGGTAATATTAGTATCATCAGCATACAAACAGGCCGCCCCGCCCACAGGCATCAAGTCCGGCAGACCCCTCAAGTATATTAGGAACAAGAGGGGCCCCAACACCGACCCCTGCGGAACTCCATGGCGGACCATCTGCATCTGTGAATTAACTTTTGGATGTAATTATATTTACTTGAGAAATCTGATTTATAATGTTCTATCTCAACATATTGTTGCCTAAGAAATAGGTAGGATCTAAACCAATTTAATTCTTTGTCATGAATACCTAATTTTGATAAAGTGTCGATAAGATTTTCATGCGATACACTATCAAATGCCCTTGTTAAATCAAGAAAAATGCCAATTACTTTTTCTCTCTTATCCACTGCATTTATTATACTTTCAATAAATTCAATAACTGCAGTGACTGTCGATTTGCCTGCTTGAAATCCATGTTGTTCTGAATCCATTAAGTTATGTTCATTTAAAAAATCCATCAATTGTATAAAAACAACTTTTTCTAAGATTTTTGAAAAAACTGGAAGAAGTGAAATTGGTCGGTAACAGGAAACATCGTTTGGTTCCCCTTTTTTGAAAACTGGAATAATTTTTGCTATTTTGAGTTTATTAGGAAAAATGCCTGAAATGAGAGAAGAATTTACTATATGTAAAAGAGGTTTTAAAATAGCAGGAAGAACTTTTTTAACAGTAATAATTGAAACATCATCATAGCCAGTAGAATATTTGTTTTCAAAAGATAATATTAATTTTTCAAGATCTTTCTCATCAATTTGCTTGAATTTGAATTTATTAATGGAAATTAAATGCTGAGAATGCACCACACTATCTTTTCCTTGAAGAATTTTAGGAAGAACAGAATTATCAACCACAGACACAAAGAAATCATTGAAACTATTACTGACCTGGAGAGGGTCAGTAATAAATATACCATCTCTCAAAATATCAATGTTACATATTGAAATCTTTTTGTTGTTTACCTCTGAGTTAATTAATTTCCAAGTTTGTTTTGCTTTATTCTTTGCATTATTTACATTTCTATCAAAAAACATTTTTTTTTCCTTGTCAATGCATTGCTTTAGTTCACCTTTCAACTTTTTAATGGTTACCTTAAGACTTTCATTCTTACTTAATCTAAATAAAATTTCTAATTCTTTAATCTGTCTTTTTTTGCAACGTTACTAATAGATAGATAGATAGTATCGCATGTTTACTAATAGATATAAGAAGGTAAAGCAATTTATAAAATCAATTATACAACACAATGAATATTGGCCGATACGCGGCAGAGCTGACCACGGGGGGTAGATTTCCGGGGGTAGATGTCCGGGGGTAGATTTCCAGTCGCGGGCTGTTTCTTGAACGTGTATAAGCCCCGCCCCTCGTGACGTCAAAATGACGTAGGCGTTTTTTCATGGGGGTAAATATCCGGGGGTAGAAATCCGCTACCCCGAAATTTATAGAGCATCTAAAACAACCCCCCACAACCTCCTGAATGATAAAAGTACACTACAATCCAACATATTATTCGAAGCATTGTTAAAGTTGAATGAAACGCCACCTGTAGCTACAAAGGACAGAGACAGGACAAAGGTCAACTCTGCAAGTAACGTCTGACCCCAGTCGAGACTCGACACACGACTGACGCGCGTCTACATGTCCGTAATAGCTCAAATAAAAGTAGGCCTACCGTGTATTTTTATGTTTTAATCGTGATATATCTAAGTGTAATATCGTTCGTGTACGTGTTTCAAAACATCAAGACGCACCCAATGGGGAAGATCAAGGACTTATATTAGGACTGATGATGGCAATTTATTCTGCCAAAATGCATCTCCTGTAATAGGACACAGCACATAAGGATCGACAGGCGGACACAGGTAATTTAACCTTTAATTGTATAAAAATAAATTGGTTGTTGATCAGTCACGGTTCAAATCAAACGTTCATTTTCATTTTTAAACTGGCTAAACTTTATGTGAATGGAATGTCTAATTTTCCCCAAAGCCTTAACCTATGACTGGCAAAATACAACTTAGTGAAGGAAAGCAAATAATTATCACCTGCTTCAGTAGGACTGCTCGGCTTGGCATACACCGAGTTGAGTGGGAAATTGGACTCTCCAGGGATGTCAAACTTTGATATTGCCAAGGCATACATCTCCTGTGTGCCTTGGTTCTTGTTGCTGCATTTCTGCAGCCGTTTGAGACACTCGGTGAAGTAGAGAGTCAGGTAAATGAGCACTCGGTCCGACTCGTTCTAGGTTTAGCAAAAACGTTAATGGAGATACTGGTATCTTAAATGCTCAGGTATCAAATAGTACATGACATGTCAATTTTGTTATCAAAAGATTAGTTTGATGGCTTATGAATTACAGTTCAAACTAGTTAACTTAACCTATAACAATCATCACAGTTTTTGTGCTTTGAGGAATTTTGTATAGTAATTTAAACATATAGCATGGCAACAAAACGGAAATTGGCAAGCTCGTTCCAATCAGGATTTGACAATTCAATCAGGATACATTAGGTGGATTCAGGTTTGAGTTTCCCATGAAAATTTGTAGGCCTATAGCCTACCTACTTATTGTTGTCTTTACTTTTAAAAGCAAAGAGCATTATTGGCGATTATCTAAGATAAGTGTGGAAGTCCTTTCTCCTCACTGTCAAGCAATTGTTACCAGTATCCCAAAAATTGAAGTACCAATTGGTAATCTTCCACTAAGTATCCACAAAGTTGAATAGTTGATGAGACAGAATTTTGTGAGATAATAAGAGGTGAAAGAAAGTACTCTATGAAATTAATCGTACCTTGATCTCGTAGGTCCTAAAGAAGACATTAGCTTTGAAGTAATAGAGTGCTTCATCAATGATGTCTGTGTCCTTACTCGCCATGATGGGAGCAGGACCCCGGAACTGGGTTTTAATGGGTAGAATAGCCATGTTTCCTACCAAATTCTCATACGTAGTAAAGCTTGAATGATAAGCCTGAAAAAAAAGACAGAGATTTCAAGTAATGTAGACCTATAACAAATGGCTACAGATACATATGAAATCCAATTAAACAAGAGCCTCTGTTTCAACATTAATTTAACTCGTAAAACATTTGTTCTATTAGTGTATAGTTTATGATAACAAACAAGGTAGGCTAACATTTTATAAATCCTTATCGTGGGCTATATCCTAGACGGGCAAAGAAATTAAAATTTTAATACTTACCGGCATGGTCAAAAATTATTTTGGTGTTTTACCAATCCGAAGTTTATAACAACTACAACAGAGTTAAATTGATTTTAAATGAAATTTTTAATAGTAGGTTCACACCCACAAAGACGAACATAACCTATCTCCTTTCCTCTCCGCTCCCCTCCCCGCTCCCAAAGACCCAAAAAAACAAATAACGATGTATCTGAAATCTGATTATCTGAATCACCTCGGATCGGAACGGAATCGGAATCTCTTCGGTGCTCGGACTCAGTTTTGTTTCAATTCGGCGGGGGTATTTGTATCTAAAATAATGGTTGGTTGGTGTTGGATGTTGGATTGGAATCTTCCCTCCAGACCCTCCAGTCAGTCCAGTTCTGTTCATCCCCTTCAACTTCATGCGAGCCTTTATCCAATATCCATCCAAATCCAGCCATTCCCATAATCCCATTCCAAAATCCAAATTCCAATTTCTACTTTCGTGCCGGCCTTCCGGCGAATTGTGATTTTTGCAGTCAATTTTATTATTCTATTTTAGAAATAGTATTATATTTTATTTGCACAACTTGCAAACTTATTGCTGTGAATTCTGTAAACTATCCAGTTATTCGTCTCTTTTTGACATTAGTTAGTTAACCTCATTTAATTATTATTTTTATTTGTAGCCTAGTTAAAACAAGAGGAATAGGCCTAGGCTAACTCATTTAACCTTTGAATCAAGTAAGTAGCCTAACTAAGTTCATGAACCTGTTAACTTTTATGATTTACCTCCATTCTCCACTCCTTTTCATTCTACACCTTAGTCTTGGTAACAAATTAGTTGACAAAACTTTGATAGGCCTAAGTTAGCTGCTGACTACATCATAGCCTATAAACGATCAAACATAAAAGTAAGTTACCATACCTATCAATTCAATGGATAAGTTAACCAAACTTAGCCTTACCAAAAAACACAACTTCTACAACCTAGCCTATCCATTTTAACAGTTTATAATTAACTTGGGCCTTACAATAAAGTCAGGTAACTTAATTTAATTCTGCCAATTAACCCTTTGAGTGACCGGACGTTTTTAGAACGAGCCAAAAGTGCCAACGTCTGGCTGACCGGACGTTTCGTAATGATCGAACAGTTGTCATAACAACCGAATGGATACTCGGATTCTTTTAACCCATATATTAAGTTAACATTGAGTCGAAAGTTACTAGATGCGATACATCGATTTTCGTTGGTCGAAATATCGAAAATTCGATTTTTACAAAATTTTAACCTAAAAATCGCCAGATCGCGCTTGGCATTTTTAGCGCGACCTTCGGGAAAAATCATCGGCATTTTTTGAGCGTTACTTTTATTTCTCGCCTGGCACTCTAAGGGTTAAGTTATTTAAATGTAGCCTACCATAACAATGGTTCTATCAATTTAAGTAGACCTTGTCACTAAACTTAGTAGGTCTAGAACCATAGACATAAATATAGACTTTCAAAGGAAAGTTCTGGTGCCCACCGCTAGGAGTGCCGTTTAACTTAGTTACGGCGCACACCGTTGCAGGTGAGGAGCGCATGAGCCGTATGCGACCAGCAGACGCTGCAGCGGTGTACGCCGTAACTACACTGTAAACCTAGTGGTGCACGCCAGAATTAATGCTAAGTAACCGCAGCACAGCTGACGGTCAATATTTATTCTATTTGTCTATGTTATAACCTAAGGCCTATTAATTTACTTGATACGGATGGGTTAGGATAAGCCAAACTTTGAAAGCTTAAGTTACTTTAATTTGATTGTTACAATCGATGGTACTAGGGTAACTTGGTGCATTAGGCTACCAAGTCAATGGAAATGTTTGGTCTTTGATTAAGCTACTTAATACTACTTAATCTGAAACCGCAGGATATGCTCACGGGTATTGCCGCCATCGCGGGAGACGATTATCGGTGTCGCCGAAACCTCAAGATATGCCTACGGGTGTTATCGCGATCGTGGGAGACGATTATCGGTGTCGCCGAAACCTCGAGATATGTCTACGGGTGTTGCCGCGATCGCGGGAGACGATTATCGGTGTCGCCAAAAAGGCAACATATGCTCATGGGTATTGCTGCGATCGCGGGAGACGATTATCAGTGTCGCCGAAACCGCAGGATATGCTCACGGGTATTGTTGCGATCGCGGGAGACGATTATCGGTATCGCCGAAACCGCGAGATATGCCTACGGGTGTTACCGCGATCGCGGGAGACGATTCTTGGTGTCGCTGAAATCATAAAATATGCGAACCTGTTTTGCCGCGATCAGTTGCATTTTTTGACGAGACTGTAAGATATGCTCACCAGTATTCCCACGATCGCGGGAGATGATAACTGGTGTCGCCTTTCCTACCAGTTATACTGTTTTATTATATTGTTTAAAATATTATTCTTTGGAAAAGTTTTGTTTCAAATAAAAATAATTAATAATTATTAGCGGGTTGCGATTAGTTGAGCGGGTTCCGATAATAGCTCTTAAAATTCAGGAATTTGTCTTGAATTCTCCTGGAAAACTCCTTGAATTTTTCAAACCAGGTTTAGTAGACACCATGACGTAGAATTCTAAAAATTTAATCACTTGACTTAAGAAGTCTAGGTAACTATAATAGGGCATTGACATTGTTTAAAAATAAATTATAGGCTAGGCCTAGGCTGTAAGTGCACAGTCATGAGGAATTGCTAAAAACGCAAGAAAGTAAGACTGGTAAATTCAATTTAACAAGTTACCGAGTAACCATTGACTGAGTAAATCTCACTAAATTAGTAGGCCTAGTCTATGAGTCTTAGGTGATGACGCGCATGGTTTGTTAAACATAGGTTACATCACATAACTTATGGGTTAACGTGAATCAATGCAACTTCTGAATATGAGTTCTATAATTAATAAAGCTAACTTATTTGATTTCAATAGCAATTTTAACAAGAGTTTATCTTCCAAATATCAGCAGTGATCACGTTCAACTTGTATCTAATCACTCAATTATTTCTACAGGTACGCCCTTAAGTTTAAATAGTTATAATGGCAGACGATGGCTGGGATTCTGGTGGTGAAAGCTCACAATCTGCACCTGTCTATTCAACAACCTTCTCAAGAGGGGGTGGTAGAGGAGGGCGAGGAAGATTCAACTCTGATGATGGCAACCGTAACAACTGGAGGGATGACAACAGGGAAGAAAGGGGTGGATGGGGGAATGACTTCAGAGGTGGACGTGGAGGAAGGGGCTCTCGAGGAGGAGGGGGAAGAGGTAAACTAAAGACTTAAATTTTTTTCTAGAACTGCGACACTAGGTTTTTAGGTCAACAACATCATTGTAATCTTATCATGTCAGTTCTTACACATATTTTTTTGTACAGCCTAATGGTGTTTGCGTTGAAATAAATTACAGACTCTGGGAATTTAAATTCTGAAACCCAAAACTCTTGCAGATTGCTAAAAGCAGCTCTATGTCTCACTTAAGTCAGATAACAGGTAGAAAATAGAATTCTACACACTAGCAAATTCTGTGGCTGGCTCACAGAATTATGTTCATTTTTACTAATATTTAAGGTAGGTACATACCTTCACGTCCACAGTTCACAAATGAATGGTCAAACCCGCTACATGTTTCGCCTATACATAGGCATTGTCAAGTGATCCTTCAAGAACGTTTCGTCCATTGTAGACTCGTCAAAAAACATTAAAATAAATACACATAAAACACGATACATTGTACGAAACATTTAACACTTAGTAGGCCTACTATTTACCGGTCGCGGTACGGAGGCAGAGTGGCTGGAATTATGTAACCCCGACCCCTTCTCCGTTATCAGTCGAGCCAAACAATCACACCGTAGATGTAATCGCCAATAGCCTGGAAATCCTTCACATTTGTAACAAAGGTAACAAATTAGACTCTCTAGAACAATTCGAAATCTACAAAAGTTTCCAAGACATCCACAATAAAAACCATATTTTAAATGACCAGCTAAACTTCAAATCTAATTCAATTTTAAACGCCATAATAGCGCAAAACAATAGACAGGAACAGTTTTACCTTTGCAGTTCGACTAAATATTAAACAGTTGCGGTAAATAGTAGGCCTACTAAGTGATGTTTTGTACAATGTATAGTGTTTTATGTGTATTTATTTAAATGTTTTTTGACGAGTCTATAATGGTCGAAACGTTCTTGAAGGATCACTTGACAATGCCTATGTATAGGCGAAACATGTAGTGGGTTTGACCAAATTCATTTATGAACTGTGGACGTGAAGGTATCTTAAATATTAGTCTAATCAACAGTTCAGGGGCTACACAATGAATTTTAGTTCTTTTTCAGTTAAAATTAGCGACCTGGTCCATATAGATGGAATGTCTAGCGTGATTAAAACGTGCATAGCGAACATCGAAGTATATAACACAACTGGAACACCGGGTAGATAGGAGATTTGGGATAAAAAGCGCACCGTTTCGGCAACCTTCCTCCACCACTATGGGGGACCCAACGCAGATATGTCAGTTCCTCAAGCCGTGCACGCGGTTGTTAATACGCTCCTGACCGTGCATACAAAAGGTTGACTGCAATTACAGTTATATATTCGGAATCTGCATTAACTGCAGAATCTGACAGTATAAATATAATTTTATTTAAATCGTAATTTGAATTTTAACAACTAAAAATGTTAAACAAATATCACACCTTGACATGAAAAAGTTACTAAGCAAGGATTTTTTTTATTTTTTGGTCAGAAGCAAACTTCAAGCGACAAAATCGTAGCTAATGAGATGACCTTCAGCATATAACCAAGCAATTTCAAATAAAATTTTCTAGTCGTGTGTAATGGAGTAATTAGTAACGCAAAGAGGTTATTTATAAATCGCGCCGAGGGCTGTCCTCCCTGGTTCCGCTAATCTTTACGTTTACGGTACTGTGCTCCCAGAAACGTTTTGAGTACAACCAATAGTTGTATTAAATACATTTTTATTACAGGTAACACATAACTATATACTGAATTATCACCTTCTAGGTAAACTATTTACATACAATGTGACTGTAAATTAAAATAAAAAATGTAGACTATATACAGGGACAGGGACTGGTAATCCCCCTTTGTTTAAATGTAACAAGTAATCGTGTATTATCTGCTTTGTTTAGTGATTAATGAGAAATTTCAAATATTAAGGCTCAGAACAAATAATTGATAAGTAACACAAACTGAATATTAAATTTACAAATCAAATTTTTAGTCGTGTTCCTTTGACAATATGAGTATAATCTTGCAAAGACACGATTAGTAAAAAAGTGTTTTGAGTGTAATTGTTATTCTGTAGCCTATATGTTTTAAAATTCATATCATCACACATAAGAGAAAAGGGTTTGGTTAATAATACTAAACAGTACTTTTAAGAATAAGATTTACTGCCCACAATCGTGCTTAAATATAGTACAAAAGTTGCATTACATGTTGTGAAACAAAACCAATTTCTTCAATCTCTGCCTTACACCTAACTTATTTTTGTTACATTCATTCATAATGTCCCTAGCTTTGGAGAAACAAACGGTTTGGGCGGCAGCCCGGTACTGGTATTGATATTTATCTTATGCAAATAAATTAAATATATGATCACATCCATAGAATAGTTAGTTGTATTCTTTAACTTATATCAACTATTAAAAAAGGGTTAAAATGTATTTAGCTTTACAATGATCGAGTAGCAAAAACATAAAGAGTTGCTGGACTGAGGAGGTTGGTGCGACATAAAATGAACCTCGTCGCGCTATTATATCACTATACTACAAACTTAATTGTAAATTGCTCGATCACATGTTAAAAATCATCTCTTAAACTACAACTTTGTCGCTTACAGTTTTCTTCTGGCCCAAAAATAAAATACTTCCTCGCATACTAACTTTTTCATGTCACAATGAAACAATTTTTAACTCTTTTTAACTATGGAAATTCTATTTTAAATCAAAAGTAAAATTTATTTACACCATTACATTCTGCATTTAATGCAGATTACGAATATATAAACATTATTGTGCTTAATCTTTGTTATTGAAGGCTAGGAGCGAGTTAACAACTTCGCGCACTATTCGATGAATTGGCTAAAATCCGCTGGGTCCCCCATGGTGGTGCGGGAAGGCTGCCACAACGGCGCGCTTTCGTGAATTATAGTGTTAACCGACGAAACTTCGAATTACTGAGTTACTTCGAATTATAGAGTGTTTTTCCGACGAAACTTCGAATTACTGCGTGTTACAAATTGACCTGTCCTCTATTTGACTTTGAAATACCGAGTGTATCAAAATGCATGGTAAAAATTTGAAATATTGAGAGATTCTCTAGGGACTGAGCCTTCATTTTGAATTATCGAAAGTTTTGAATTATCAAGTGTTTGAATTACCAAGAGTGGACTGTACCACTATCCTATCTATTTAATTACTTTAATTTTGTTTACTGTAGGTAACATTGTAAAATGATCAAGAACTAGTTTAAAATGTTTTACCAAATAAAATTACTATAACAAAAACGCACAATTATTTTAGTTCTTCACCATTTTGTTCTGATTGGTTGGAATCAAGTGGGACTCAAGGAGTTTTTAGGTGAGTTAGGCAAACTTATGTTTTTGTTCCAGCTGTGAAATTTCATGTTTGTGCTCGGTGTGTTTGGTTCTAGTATTATAATGAACAAAGCAACATCTTTATGGGACACCCTTTATTGTCTTTACAATTGTATATAGTAGGCCTAGTATTCATATTACAAGATAGGTAGGTCCAAAAAACAAAATCTGTTCATGATAAAACCTGTTTCAGGTAGGGATGGTGAGGGATTTAACAGAGGTCGAAATGATAATTGTATAACTATGACCATCAGTTCGTCCGATGTTGGTAGAATTATTGGAAAAGGAGGATCCAAAATAAGAGATTTGGAAGCTGAGTCTGGAGCAGAAATTAAGGTATGTTTCGTTTGAACAGTTTTATAATTTAATTGTTTACAATTCCTAAACAATCTTTAAGTTAAGTACCGTACCCTATTGATGAATCAAGGTACAGTTTAACCTCAATATAAGAAATCTTAAGTCGTAAACAAACATCTAACAAAACTTTTATGTGCTCCTAACTAATTACCACGATAGCGGCAAAGTTATTGCACAATAACTCATAACCAGAAACTGACTTTTTACGTCAATTCTCGGTTTTGTTTTTTTTTCTTCTAAATTCTGGTATTACCGACAACCGACCCATTTATAATTTTCATCAAAGGAACGTGGGGAGTTTGTTATATCGAGAGAAAAAAAGAGACAATTTTTAAGTACTAGAGGTAAAATCCGTTATAAGGTTCTGATAATGATTATTTTTTTATATTGAGGTGACTTACATTAGCCGTGGTCGTCAAAAATGTGTTAAATCACGGATGTTGATATGTTTTTTTTTTATATGTGAAGGTGAAATAGGCTACATTATTGTGTCTAATGGAGATTTCTAGGGATTAAAATTTTATAGTTAGAAATTCCTTATGTTGAGGTTCGTCATATCGAGGTTAGATTGCATTTCTTAGTAGCTCTGAGTATCAAATAAGTATTATAACATTTCTATTGGTAGTCAGCTCAGTTGAGCCATTGTAGTCAGTAAAAAAGCTATTAAAATGTCTATGACTCATTCCATTTTATTTAGTTTTTTAAAATGTAGCCCAAGCAATTATTAACATTTTTGAAACTTTAAGAAGTGTTGAAATTTTGTTATAATATTTTGTTGTCATTATAAAGTTGTGTTTTGGTTGAATGTTAACGTGTGTTTTCATATAGAAACAAAGCAATATGTGTGAGTGTCAAAAAGTAGCCGTTTTATAATAAATTCAAATCAGACTCCAACCATATTTGAAAAAAACAGGTTTTTTTTTAAATCCTGATATAGGTACCGGTTTGTAAAAATCTGACGATATTCTATTACTTTGATGCGTCATAGTTTGATACTATTTCCAGATTGAGAAAAACAACGGTGCAGATGAAACTCAGATAACACTGCGAGGTTCTGCTGAGAGTCAGGAGAAGGCAAAAGAATTGATAGATGACCTGGTGTGTGATGTGGAGGGGTGGGGTCCGGGGGGAAAGCCAGGCATGAGGGGAAGAGGAGGGAGGGGCGGCAGACGAGGGAACGACAGAAGTCACAGCAACATCCCTATCAAACGGAGAGAACTGGATGACATGGAACCTCCAAACATAGACTGGGACCAAGTCAACAGAGCTTATGTAAGTATACATAGTGTCTTAACGATTGTGAAAGTCACTGAACTCTTCATCGGTGACTTGGATTTTTAAATTGTATTAGGTTCCAAAAAACCTTAAGAGACAATATGTGGATTTAATTTTTACATCCACTGTAGTAGCTGGATCTTTTTAACACAGTACATTTCTTTATTTAATTTTCAAATATACCTAATAGGGGATGCCCTATCACACGAATATGTGGTTATGAACCCAATTAGATCTTCAATTGATAAAATTATTTTGGTTTTGAACTCATTTATGCACACCTCTCCTTAATAATTTTTTAAAATATGAAGATATAATTTTTTTTCTTATTCTGTAGTTAGAAAGCTCCTAAAAGATAGTCTTGCTAGTGAGTCAACAACCTATTAAAACTAAAGGATTATTTCACACAGTAAAAATTCTCATTCTACACTTGTTTATTACTAAACAAAATAATATTCCATGCTCATAGTAAGCAGTGATGGCTACAAATTATTTTATCTTTCTAACCTAAAAGCTGGTACAACTTGGTTAGGAATTCCGGGCTAAAGGTCTGGTTTTTTATCCCCCTCCCCACAAAATATACACGTTACAAAGATTTTATTTAAAATATTTATCATATCTTTAATCAAGTTTTGTCCTTTTAATCACAGGAGGAGGGACAAAAACAGAAGTGGGCAAACCTTGCACCTCTTATCAAAGAGTTTTATAAAGAAGACCCCGAAGTCAAGCATATGGACCCAGAATTTGTAGCGCAATACAGGTAGGTAACGAATAGGCAAGTCGATTTATGATGTTCATCATTATATTGCATACATTTTTCTCATTATCTAACTACAGTACTATTCATACCTATCTATGTATCGACAACCAACAAAAAAACAAACAATTTATTCAAGGGAAGGCCACGTGCCTCTCTTTCTTACACCTAACCCACGATACAACATGAACCATTGAGTCCATTCCAAAGTCCAAAAATGTCTTATCAGCCAGCAGCATATAAGTTCTTTCTTTAACTTAAGAACTAAACTATTTGTTTTTGTAATTTTGACAATCTGATTAAGTATCTATATAATGCAAGCTGATTCCCTGCAGTTTTCCGTGTCTAACTTTTTACGATTGTACACAGGAAGAAAAAGAACAATATCGTTGTGCAGTACACATTTGGTGAGTGTGGAGAGGGCATTCCGAACCCGGTTTTGACCTTTGAGCAGGCTTTCGCCCCGTACCCCGATATCCTGGAACAGATTTACAACCAAAACTTCACGGAACCTTCGCCCATTCAGTGTCAGGCGTGGCCCATCCTGTTGAGTGGGAAAGATTTAATCGGCATCGCACAGACTGGAACAGGTACGTCGGAAATATGTCCAAGAGCTTGAATTGGCCAGTTTTATTGTACAATAAGCACTTATTAAAAGATATGACAATACACAGTTGGACCTCAATAAAAAGACCCTTGATGGCTTTATTACAAGTGTCATTTTCATTGTCCTTGATTTTATATTTTAGGAATATCATTACGCCCTTCTGTCTCTCAAGCTTCACTAACCTCTTGGACTGTTTCATATCCAAAATTAAGTTAAACACTTTGCAAGACCAAAACAAGTCTAGTGTGTATTATTCATTATTTATTATTCTCTGCCCTGTATGCAATTTCAAACAAATGAGTCCTGGATGTAAAACAGTCAACAATTTGATGCACAGCAATGCAAAATCAATCTGCAACACCATTGGTGTTAGTAAGTTTAGTTTTTACCAAATGACCTACTTTATAGGTAAAACCCTGGCATTCCTGTTGCCTGCGTTGATCCACATCGAGGGTCAGCCCACTCCGAGGGGAGAGCGAGGAGGGCCCAACGTCCTCATATTGGCTCCAACGAGGGAACTGGCTCAGCAGATACAAGCTGAGGCCAGCAAATACTCGTACAGGAACATAAAGTCGTAAGTAGCTCATCCAAGTCTGGAGCAAGCTAGTCTAGTTGTAGAGCGTGGGTTCTGTCCCAGAGGTACCGGGTTTAAATCCAACCAATCATCAATTAATTTTATCTAAGTGGTAACACAGTGATTCTCGAAGCCTATCATGAAGCATGGATAAAATATACTCCCTTAGAGAAGTCATCCTTATGGATCAGCTGATGACAATTTTGTTGTAGTTTCATCCGGTTCACTGCACAAGTCGTGTTTTGTTTACAATTTTTTTCTTGTTATTTCAGTCATTTATAACTAGGGATGGACGAGATTGGATTTTTAGTTCGAGACGAGACGAGATTTTTTATTTCTCATAAAATTTCGAGACGAGATTTCTCTTCTCATACACAACGGGAAATGCACGTTCGAAATTTTTACCTGATTTTGTAACATTGTTAGATGACTGTTTAAATACTAAAATAATGATAATAGGCAAGAATATTTACAATCTTTTATTAAATAACATCAGCATAACATTTTTTTATTAATCACGCCTAACTTATTAAAAATGCCTACGATTAGGAAACATGGTGATATCAGTTAGGATAGATTTCAACTTATCCTAAAATAAAATAAATCATAAAATAAAAGCAATATTAATTTTTATAAAATAGTTACTTGTTTTGACTTTTTTATAGTAATAAAACATTCCTCACACTGCTTACACTTAACAAAACTTCTCAAATGTTATTAAAGTAATATTATTAAAATAATGAAAGTAATATTTACATTAAAAGAATTAAAGTAATATTTACATTAAAAGAATTAATTAAATAAGAACGCCTTCGAAAAGGAAACGCAACTACAACACGCTCCTGTATTGCGGGTATTGCATTGACTTTCTGCAGGCGTTTTTAAATTTTTTTTTTTTTTTTTATTCTCGTCTCGATAAAAATCTCGGCCAAAAAGTAATCTCGTCTCGTGTAACGAGATTGAAAATTTCCCGAAATTTCGAGACTTGACCATCCCTATTTATAACCTCGTTTGACCAAATAAAACGATCTAATCATAAACTTATCATAAAATAACTCGTTCCCTTGTTAAATAACCGAACAGTAAAGCACAAATCATGAAATTACCCTTAAAATGATATAAACAAAATTTCGTCCACACTAGCGATCAGTGTCACCAAAAATTAACTAGACACAAGAAACAAGCTTCAAAATTTACGATGGTATGAGAAGTCTGTGTCGGTTAGTACCAACAAAACCTGTGCCTGAAGTAATGTGTAACAGTTTAAGGCTAGAATCTAACGTCCTAAGACTTGAATGTAAGGGCTACACATTTTGGGTTTTTAAATTCGGTACTAGGGTTGTTATTTTATGTGGGTTGTGTTTAAGCACAGTTTCAAACATGCTTTTTTTTTGTAGTGTATTTTACTGACGTGTGAATGAGGAAGAATGAAGCTGAAGTGCCTGATCGATTATTGGGTTGCAAAACCAATTTCTCACCAACGACAGCCTACTCTAAAAACAATATTTGCTTTGGGGGGGGGGGGTTGCTTTTTAAGGCTCTTTTGTCGGAAAAAATCTACTGTGTGTATGTAGTAGGAACTGTCTGTATGGTCTTATTTATATCTTTGAAAGGCTTAAGAAACCTTTTTACCAAACGTATATTTTATAGGTTGTGGATGGCTTCTATACACATAAGAAGTATATAACATAACTTTTGCAAAATGTGCACCTAATTGATGCAATGTTGGTTTGAAAAATGATTGCAACTATGTATAGATTTTTATATTTCAATGATCGTTTAAACGTTGGTAAATACTTGTGTAGGATGTGCATCTACGGAGGTGGCAGTCGCCGTGACCAGATAGATCAACTGAGGAGAGGGGTGGAGATTGTAGTGGCGACTCCTGGACGTATGAATGACCTGATTGCTGCCGGTAATGTATACAAATAATGAAACATTCAAACAATTAACACTGTTCAGTAACAAGTTTGAAATACATTTAAATAGTGAACATTTCTGCTTTTAAAGTTTGTTTTGGATATGGTATATTTGTGTTGTTTAAAGAATTATTGCAGACAAGTAAAAAATGTACATTTTATAGTATTTGAGAACTGGAGTCTGGCCCTAAAGTGAGAAAGCACCAGGGATAGAGGGGTCCCGAAATTTCGGGGAAAATGTATTCCCATTTATCAAACAGGATTATATTTGATTCTAATTTTATCAGGATGGTATTAATTTGTTCCGATCATCAGCGATTTTATCAAGTCCTGAGTGCAAAATCACAGGGGAAAAAAAGTCCCATCTCGAAATTGGAAGGGGAAAAATCCCGTTCCGTGCTGAACTAAAAGTACAATCCCGTCCATCCCTAGAAAGCACCTAAAACATATCAAGATTAATATACTAACGTAGCCAAAGTTTGGGAAGTCATGAAAGAAAAATTATATGGAGAACTATAAAAGTAGTAAAAATTAGAAAAAATGAGTATTTTCATTGTGTGCATTTTGTAATATCCTTTTCTATAGCCTACAGTTGATCTTATCTATATAAATAATACCCCCGCCGCAGCAAACCTGCAGACTAAGCGAATTTCCATTTGACTGATTTGATTTTTACACTGAAATGTCTACTTAAAAATATAACATTTATTCCCGATTTAAATAGAATTAGTTGAACAAGTACTTAGGTTTGCTGCATCAGGGAGGGTAAAACTTTGTTTTTTTTGTAAAATGTTAATAGTTAGTAAGAAATAAAAACATTTTCCAAAATTGATCAAAATATGTTCATAAACAAGCAAACTACAACAGTTTACTTATTCTCCATAAGAATAACATGGGAATTTTAAATTTACAATTTTTTGGAATTTTCTCCGTAACCATTAGGCGCATAATAACGCTTCAATATACTAAATTATTTGTTTTTTTAAGCTCTACAAAATGGTTTGGAAAGAAATTGCTAAATTTTGTGTTTTTTGGGTCAAAAATGGGAAAAACCTATTTTTACCCCATAAAACCCCCCGTAAACCCCCGTTCCCATGGTCCGATCATGCTGAATCGCGAACTCGTTCGAATAAACGTAGGTTTACACGTTTTTACCAAATTTCATCAAAATCGGATCATTTTTGCTCGAGTTATCGTGCTAACGGACACATATATATATAAATATATATATATATAAATATATATATACAGGGTGTTTTTTTAAAAACTTGCATCTTTATTTATGTAAAAACCGCAATAGATAGAAATATGCAGTTTGCGGGAATCATCTATTGACGTAGGGGGACCAATTGTTTTGAATTCAACATTACATTCACATTCCCCCCCTTTCCCCCCCTGCCCCCAACTTATTTTTTTTAAATAGCAAGGTACCCCTTGTGACATATCAAATAAAAGAGCATAAAAAAAGAAAATGTTTGATGAAAAAAAATTGAAAATTGGTTCATAAATTTGTGAGATATTCCCCCCCTCACCCCCCCGGAAGTTAATTTTTTTTTAATAGCAAAGTACCCCTTGTGACATATCAAATGAAAGAGCATGAAAAAAGAAAATTTTTGGTGAAAAAAATTTAAAATCGGCTCATGAATTTGTGAGATAATCACCCCCCTTTTCCCCTACCCATAACTTGTTTTTTAATAGCAAGGTACCCGCCCTTGTGACATATCAAATGAAAAATAAATTTCACCAAAATTTTTCTTTTTTCATGCTCTTTCATTTGATATGTCACAAGGGGTACTTTGCTATTAAAAAAAAATAAGTTCCGGGGGGGTGAGGGGGGGAATATCTCACAAATTTATGAACCGATTTTCAATTTTTTTTCATCAAACATTTTCTTTTTTCATGCTCTTTTATTTAATATGTCACAAGGGGTACCTTGCTATTTAAAAAAATTAAGTTGGGGGCAGGGGGGAAAGGGGGGGAATGTGAATGTAACGTTGAATTCAAAACAATTGGTCCCCCTACGTCAATAGATGATTCCCGCAAACTGCATATTTCTATCTATTGCGGTTTTTACATAAATAAAGATGCAAGTTTTTAAAAAAACACCCTGTATATATATATATATGAATTTGAACGGATGGTGTTTTTGGCCTCTAGGGACCTCAAAACGAAAAACAAAATCGGTCCCGCGTCCAGGTCTTACCATGAGTACTACGGTAATAGCTTATTCCCTATATGGGAAATTCGCTAAAATTAGAGTTTTGTCTGTACATTGCTCAGAATCATACATTTTTAGGTTATTTTTACGTTTTATACATTAAAGAAGCCGAAACAAGTCTCATCTAAATTTCTGTCTGTCTGTCTGTCTGTCTGTCTGACACACTCAAGATGGCATTTTACGCAATCTTCTCCAGGAAAACGAGAGTACCTATCAAGACCCAAGTCATTTTAATATATTCACTGGATTGGCGAGAGTGTCTTGAGCCATTAAAATATGGTCTCACTACTTTGTAATTAAAATTACGGCCGTTCAAAAATGCAGTTTTGTGCGATTTTTGTCAAGTTTTCTTCCAATTTGTATCACATAATCATCTATGAAACAACGAACAGCTGTTCGGATCAAGATTATTTTTTCTAGCTGTCACTGAAATGTTTACAAATGTTGTTTACAAACACCACAACCATTTCCGATCACGTTTTGAAGGCAAATCCCATCCAAGTGAGATTAAAAACGTTTTTATTACATAAAGGATTTAATTAATCGCAAGTGGAATAATATAGTGTAACCGTAAATTAAATAACTAGGCATTATCCAGGTCAGGAACCAGAAATATGTGTATAAAATTGTTTTGGAGTTTTGATAACCAGAAAGAAGACATTGAATCAAGATTGAATCAGTGTTGTATACGGCTGGGAAACTTAAATTTACTAATGACCGTCGCCAATAGCTTATAAACAATGTTCCACTCATTGACGGCTCTTCAATGGCGGTTGTGTAAAGTGTAAAGCAAAAAATTACAACTGCAGTGGGTGATTGTAACAGAGGTTTACGGATGATGCTGAACTCGATTTTCCAATGTGTCACTTTCTGTTCCTACCATTGACTATATAAAGTCAATAGTTCCTACTCACCGTGTGATGCAATCGCTGGACCATACAGCCAATAGGCCCATAGCCCTTCTCTTGGGTACGTGTGGTACGTATGCTTACCCAATTATTTATAACAACCCTTTCGACAACGATCCTTGATACCGGTACTTTTCCATAGAATACACGGCCTACCTAGGTACTTAAGAAATAAAATTATAAACGTCCAAAAACCCAACGTTGTGTGATTTTTGTCACATTTCCTTATAATGTTAATATATATACCAGCAACCATTGTTCAGAGAATACGTAATCTATTAAATAACAGAAAGTTATGTTGTATAAGGTTTTTTTTTCAAACTGACACCGATAAGTTTACATTAAGAGTTGTGTACAAATAAAGCAATTAATGGGAAATAACTTTGATTGCTGATCACTTTTTACGAGAAAATCCAAAACCAAGAGATCAATAACCTTGATTAACGCATATAATTGGTCGGCTGTACTACAGTTTTTAACTGTAAACGTTGGTTTTTGGTACGGTACTGGTTCTTTACCTTTTAACCTTTAGTAGCAGCAAGAATCATTTTTACGTACCAACACATCACAGTAATTTACAAATTAGTTATCGTTGGTGTTGCACCTTATTTATTACAGGCATAGGCCTATTCAATTTAATTGATGTCTTAACTGTATAATTTTTGCTTTTTCTGTCTGGATTCCAAAATGTTATGCTAAGAAAACTATAACGCATTTTAGTAAAACATTTATTCAGCAAACCATCATGAATTGTTCAAACACTTTGAAGTTTGTTTATGTATCAATAGTTCGTGGCCTATTTTGGTAATTTTTATTACAAATTACCAATCTAAATCGTCTATAGTAGGCCTACTGTACTTCATTTCATATAGCAAACCGATTCAGATAGCATTTCGACAGAATTTCGAGTCATCTCCGGTCCAAGCAAATATAAATTGTTATGATCAAATTTTATGGCATTAACAAAGATTTCAAGTACTAATTTTATATGTACCTTTTTATGCTTAAAGCGTAGCAGATTCCCTAATTAAGTTCGGTATTTTTGTGTGTATGTATGATGGTAACGCATTAATGTCCTTGTTTCTCAATGTTTCACGGAAAGGACAAGAGCGCCTTGATAATGAAAATGTCAACCCGAATAAAGTGTTAAATTAAGAGGTTGAGGTAATACCTTAAATACTTTTAACCATTATGTTATAGTCCTTTAAATTCTGAACAAAATTGCACAAATCCCATTTCCGTATATTTACTCTCACCGCTTACACATGATAAAGGTTGTTGACAAACTTATGGGAGAAAGTATGTGTCAGAATGCTGATACCGTTTATTTAGTCATTGGATATAACATATGGACCAACAAGATCCGGGTGACATTTAATTGCGAAGCATTAGTTTTGGCTTGAAACTGTCAGATACTGTATTTGCGAAGGAATAGTTTTGTCAGCATATCTGAAAGTATGCAAACCAACTGCTGTGCTTTATATAAGAAGGTTTTAACTGACTATGATAAGATCCCCGTGCGTAGAATGGGCACACAGCTAGTATTAGTAAAAAATACTAAAGATTGTCTTAACTACTTCCCCAAGAATAAGTTCTAAAAGGCAAGTTGAATGTGTTTATGCAAAATTTTAACTTAAAAATTTGATTTTCTCTTGTATTACTGCCTGCAGGTGATCTGAACCTTCAAGCCATCACATATCTAGTTTTGGATGAGGCAGACCGAATGTTAGACATGGGATTTGAGCCAGAGATCCGCAAAACTCTCTTGGACATTCGTCCTGACAGACAAACTGTTATGACCAGGTGACCTTTGCTTAGTAACACACTGATAAAGTTAACTTCCTATAGTCTTATTTAGTTTTTGTTTTCTTTAGGCCTGACTAGTGATAATATCTAGAGTTCAAAGATAGCACGTTTATTTTTATAATATTTAAAGCTAATTTTCCTCAGAGATTATTAGCGCTTAAAGAAAATTGTTAGTTTTAAAACTGTTCTGACTAAAAATGTTTTGGGTGATTGTCAAAGATCACACTTCTGATGCTAGTCTGGTATGATTTGATTTGATCATTCCAATTTCCAATATAATTTTATTTGTTCTGTGTTATCTTTTCTAGCTGAAAATTTTACTGGCAGGTCTTCCAGAAGGTCCAAGGTTAAGAAATTGTTTTACTTTTTTCCTGTCATAGCTATAGCTTATTAAAATTGACGTTGCTATGTTTGTCCAGTGCTACATGGCCGGCAGGCGTCAGGCGACTGGCAGAGTCCTACATGAAAAACCCCATCCAGGTGTATGTTGGCTCTCTAGACCTGGCCGCCACACACTCCGTCACCCAGACAATCGAGTTTATGGACGAGTCCGAGAAGGAGCCTAGGGTCAGTTACATCGAAATATTTTAAAATAAGTTATTTGCTGAACAGTTGGTTCTTAAGGGGGGATCATAGTGATGGTGTCAACTTATCCGCTGTACCTTATAGCAAGTTTTTTACGAGTTGGAAAGTAAAGTTTGTTATGGTTGGCTGTTAAATAGCTCATCAGTGTAGTTTTCAACACAGATGGACTGGGAAATAACCGCTGGTGAGCATGTGGTTTTTGTTCCTAATTGTCTGTGGCTATTATAAAAGACCTAACCCAAAACTTTACTAAACTATTAAAAAAACGTTTTGTTTGAATATCTGCTAGTGTCTATAAGAGAATCAAGGAATGCTGCTGACACTTGATGGGGGGCTTTACCAGACATGGACACGGTAGGACAGAACTGTCTGCGGTCACTACACCGTTGCTATCAGCTGATCATACATGCAAGTAAAATATACTCTTTGAAAAATCTCAGTGAAAGCAGCGCACCTAGATTCTGGTGTAGACACTAGCAGATTCGAACGCAACGTTTTTACTGGCTCGATGAGACTTCTGGGTTAGGTCTTTGTTCTGCGCTAGGTCTTTGATCTGCGCTATCACCAACAGTCAAATAGCCCTATTGATTCCTGGAGTAACCTTTTATCCGTTTGTATTCCATAGTGAAAAAAGTAATTAGTGAAATTAACAAATAATTTCCAGGCATGTAGTTTCTAACCTTTTACTTTTCCAGCTGCTGGACTTTTTGTGCAACATGGGTCCAGAAGAAAAAGTTATGGTATTTGTCGGCAAAAAGTCAAGAGCAGACGACATCTCCAGTGAGTTAGCACTCGCGGGGGTCAACTGCGATGTGATTCACGGTGATCGAGAGCAAAGCGACCGGGAACAAGCCTTGATTGATCTTAAGTCAGGAGAAATCAGGATATTGATTGCTACAGATGTAGCTTCTCGTGGAATCGACATTCAGGATATCACGTAAGTTTTAAGTCTTGAATCGGTTTATGTTTGAGTAGCTTACATTATTATTAATTTAAGTTATGGTAAAATTTGTTTATGCTTTACACAATTCTAATATTGCTCTTAAACTGGTACAGTAGAACCTCTTGAATCCAAACTAATTGGGACCGGGGGAAGGTTCGGACTTTATTTACTTATTAAGTTATATACTTATAAAGTTTACTTTATTTACTTTTTTTATTTAAGTTTTGTTTACTTTATAAAATAAAATACACTGTTTATTTAAAACAGAAGTAAACATAGGTAATAAACAGTACTGTACATTACAATAGAAACAATTACGGTGCGTATACCAATAAATACAATACAGTATACAATAATCTAAGTACTAACTACTGTACCTACTGTGTATAGAGTACAGCTATGAGGCGTTCGGATTAGTGGACTCGGATAAAGAGGTTCTACTGTATTTTTCATTGGTAAAATTGATATAAACAATCACTAAGTACTTTGGTACGGTAGTCGTTAAATCTACTTCTTTATTAATAAAATTACAGTTTTAACTATACATTGTTTAGAATAGTGGATTTTGGTTATTTTTATGTTTTATAGCCTAAGAAAGCTAAAACACTTCTTATATCAATTTCTGTCATTGTGTCTGCCAATTTACGTGGCTTACTCCGTGAAAACTAGAGTAGCGAGATCAAGCTTCAAACTGTTATACTGTATCCAATGGATTTGCGAGAATGTCTTTACCTATTAGACATTCTTAACATGGCTTAAGAACTTATTATTACATGGCTTAACTACTTTGGAAATAATATAATGCATTAGAAGAAAATGGGACCAAAACTCGCTCATGACTGGGTTTTTGAACGAGTTTTGTCACATTTCCTCCACATAATTTATCAAATACCAATGATCTGTTTAGAGAATATGTCATCTATAACGACGTAAAGATTCTTTCTTCAAACTTTTACCCTTATGCTAAAAATTGAAAATGTTTACAAATAGTGCAATTATTTCCGATCACGTTTTGGTAGCAAATACAAAACCAACTTATGTTAAGTTAATAACCTATTGACTTAACAGATTTTATTGATCGCAAGTAGAATAGTTTGTAACTGCAATTTAAATTAAATGGCTAGGTACCATCCAGGCTGGGCTACCGGAGATTCTTCATGTTTCAAATGGTACTGAACTTAAGGTTTCAACTGACTACAATATTCACGTCCGTAGATCGGCCACACTGCTAGTTGTTATATAAAATTGTAATCTTTTTATTATTTTCCCAGGCACATCATCAATTATGACTTCCCGCGCAACATCGAGGAGTATGTTCACAGAGTTGGACGTACAGGACGTGCGGGTCGGACTGGCGAGGCCATCTCGTTTGTCACCCGACAAGATTGGGCTCAGGCTCGGGACTTGATAAAGATGATGGAGGAGGCGAACCAGGTATGCAGTACCTGTTGTGAATGTATCGTTTACATCTTAATGGCCATGAAGATGCTATGAAAAACCCGAGAAATAAATCTTACACAGAGTGACTTGCACAAGGCCCCACTAGGAAAACAGGGCATGCTGCAGGACCCACAACGCCGCACCTGTGTGGATTGATTCACTGCTATATCTCATATGTTTTAGGTAAATAAGCTGGCGGTTTAAGTCTGGCAACTTTAGTACAACTATCCACCACTGTGACGTAGTGTTGAGCTGCAGCATGGCCTGTTTTTTTCTAGTGGGACCTTGGCTACTCCCTTAAAAGCTAGGGAATTGTACCTGCACGTTTTCATGACCAGAAAAATTGTGTTTTGTCTAGGACTAAAAAAAAGTTGTGTATGAGTAATGATTGAGTGGTACTGTAGTATTCATTAATGGGTTCCTGTCGGTTCTATTTCCACGTCGCCCTGATCTGGGATATGCTCACAGATGCTGCTGAGATCCAGGAAAAGGTACTTGAATCTTGTCGAGGACTGGGGAAATTTTATGTTTCAGTAATCACTGACAGCCTATAGTTAAATTAATGTGTTCCATTCATTTATGGGCTGTTGGTTCTCTTCATGTAGTCCTGGTTGTAGGATATGCTTACATTAGGGTTTCTGCAATCACAGGAGATGATCCAGTTGAACATGGTTGATGTTATTCTAGCTTAAATGGTTGAAACACTGTTAATAAGTTTTAGAATTGATTAAAAACAAGGTCAGAATTTATTTTCACTGTATATTTTTATAAACAATGAACTTTGTTTAGGAATTTTATTCTTGGGTATTTTGCTTCAATCACTAGTTTTAAGCTTTGTATACAAGCTTTGGGTTTTGCCCAAACACTAAGAAAGTTGTAAACCATAACTATTTTAAAATTTCTATTTCCAGATCGTGCCAGAGGAGCTATATCAGATGGCTGAAAGGTTTGAGGCAATGAAAGAGAAGAAAGACCAGGAGAGAAGTCGTGGTGGAGGGAGGGGTGGGGGAAGGTTTGGAGGAGGCGGAGGAGGTTATGGTGGAGGCGGGGGTGGATATGGTGGAGGCGGGGGTGGATATGGAGGCGGCAGAGGGGGAGGAGGAGGACGAAGATGGTAGACTAAGATCTGAACTTTGTGATGTGTAACTTAAGCTAAGATGTTATTAATCAATAAAATCAGTTTATCAAACTGTGATATTGTTTTACAAGATATTTCAGTTTTCCTTGTTTTTAAGAAGTTATTCTTTTGTACATTATTAAGAAGTATTAAAGTTTTTTTTGTAAATTTGATTTTTATTTCCCAAAGTGTTGTGTAGACAACTTTTAGCACGTAAAATGTATATTCTAATATTTATGAAATGCTCTACATTAAAAGTGCCCTAATATAGATTGTGGTCAAGCATTGGGAGGGGGTCAAATAAAAGGAATGGCTCAATAAACAGGGTGTTCAGAAAAGGTGGATACATCATTTACGTAGTGATTCCTTGGGTCAAAATAAAGAGAAAATCTAGAACAAAATTTTTTTTTCCAAAATCGCTTTAACCAGATTTCCGCCCTTTTGTTTTTTTTTACAAAAACATTTTTATCTTTGAAGTTTTACAACCGATCTTTATGAAACTTTGTATGTATGTTAAGTTAAGGTAGAAAAGACCCCTGAAGGAAAAAAACACTATCTTGGTTAATATGGTTGATTTTATGAAAACATTTCAAGAAAACTTATTTAGCATTTTCATTGCTCTATAAAACAATACCAAGTTTAAAAAGAGCTAATAAAAAGTAGCTGAAGTATTTTTTTAGTTGTAAAATGAGGCAAACCTGACTAACTTGGCCTTATCCTACCCCATTTCACAACTAAAAATCGTGATATTTCTGGTAGGTTAATTATTTTGTTTAGTCACAGTATATCATTCACACAAAAACATTAAAAATTTTATTTAGTGCAAAGGTTATATAGCAAGAAATTTTAAAAACTACATCGCTGAGGTCTTAAGTAGAAACTACCTCTTTGTGGGTTATTTGGAGGGGGGCTACTTTTCTACACTGAGATGTTGACGGTCCAGCCTTTCTTCAAATGTGCCCTTTGGCTTTCAAAGTTCTGAGGTGAGGATATTAAAAGTAAATATTGATTGGTCTCCATGGCTGCAATGAGAAAACATACTGCATTTTTGTTATAACATCTCAATGTAAACAAGCAATGTTATTTCACAGTTTTAGACAGCTGGCCCAAACAAATTAAATAATTTTGTTTTTCAATTAATTGTTAAGTGTTATGTTTTGTTTAGGTCTTCTTTTTAACCTAATTAACAACTACAACATTCTTTACTTCAGTTGATTGTTTCATTAGTGCAAGGTGTCTGTACTTCCTTTGTTTTGAAAGTATAATTTGAGTGAACAAATCATAATCTTAGTTTTTTGTTTGTTTATAACATTTCACCATGGACATTTTAGTTCCTACTCCTATATCAAAAGTCGTATCTGCTATCTGTATTTTTGGATTTTCAGTTTTATTTGGAATAGCTCCGTTATTTTGTAAAGTATGTGTTAGATCAAAAAAAGTGCAGTGGATAAACAATAGCATTATATGTTTTAGTGGTGGCACATTATTGGGAATATCCTTTCTTCATTTAATGCCAGAAACAAGAAGTTCAGTGGCAAGACTACGTTCCGAGGGACACTTTACAAGTTTCCCAGTCCATATCTCTCTTGCTGATACAATCATTTGTGTCGGTTTCTTTGTCACTTGTGTGCTTGATGAGTTGATCCATCTGCTATTACAATATGCTGGGTCAGACCACCACCATCAGCCTCATGGGAAAAGAGAAACCGATCTGGAAGCTTTTCATTTTATTAAAGAAGGTCCTAAGACAAAGGAAGTGAGCGAAACAAAGGATAAGGCAACATCAGCAGATGAGGAGAACGTGGAACCAACTTTACAACATAGCCATTCACACTCAGGTATAAATATCCACATCCCCAGCATTCTCACAATCATGGCTCTCTCTTTCCATGATGTGTTTGAGGGGCTCGCCCTTGGGATTCAGAAGCATGTGGATGATGTATTATTCATGTTCCTCTCAATCGCCACACACAAGTATGCGATAGCCTTCTCTGTAAGCCTAGACTTGCTCCTGTCTGGTGTGAGAGACAATATGATATTCCTGTACACTATACTGTTCTCGATAGTGAATCCAGTGGGGATTTGTATCGGTATTGCCTCTGGTGCAGTCAGCAGCGAGGGAGGGATTCAATCTCCAGTGACGGTGTTTATGCAAGGACTAGCCAGTGGATCTTTGATCTATGTGACATGTGTTGAAGTGCTCCAACGTCACAAAACCTCCGAAGATCACATTAGTGGGTTACGCAACACCTTGTTTCTTATTCTTGGTTTCATTTTCATCTTGATAATGAAGATTTATTTGCCACATGACCACTCTTTCCACGAATACGAGGGTCATGTCTAGCACAATTTAAGGAATTAAATATAATTTTTCATAACTATGTGACAGGTTTGGTTTTATTTTTATTTCTAGGTTGCGTCATTGATTATAAGAATTAAGTAAGATTCAATACCATTGCTGTATATGAACCTTGGCTTTCTCCTTGAGTTTTTAAAGTGTTATCTTATGATATATTTTAACAGTAGGAAAACTATTTAAGGTTTAGATGTTTTTAAATATTTTGACATTTTGTTAGGTACGGTAACAAATTTGCAACTAACAATTATTATGTTTTGATTAGGCTTTAAAATATTTATCTGTTAAAACTAGATGAATGTACAATGTTTACAAATCCAAGATAATTTTACGTTTATCAAACAAAGTGGTTTGGTTGAATTTTGTTTTATAAAAGCTTTGGCGGATGCATAAATATTGTATACAACAGATGTAAAGATCAAAAAGGTTTCTTTCACGTCCTCTTCCCGTTGAGCACAGGTACAACAGCTGTAGGTATATTTTCTTTAAAAGTCTGCAATACCTCAATAAAAGAATATTCCTGTGAATTTAAAGTTAGGCCTACATGCTATACGTCATTGGCCCTTATGATCTGTCAATTTAACTACCTACTTTGATGTATGAGATTAAGCTTTTCTTGTCCTTGTCGATAGCATGTGTTTTTCCCCTAAGACAAGAGAAAATGTATCTGCAATATGTAGCCTATCTCTTTCCATTCATTTGTTTGTGACTATCATGATCATTCTTCTTAAACTTAATCAGCTTTTCAAAAAACATACAAATTTGATCTTATACACATTTGGATCAGTTCACAAAATTCACTCGTTTAAGGATGCTAGCAATTTAAATTGTTTTAACATTTAACTAGTGTACTGTTGCTCGAATTCGAGCAATTGCTAAGTATTATGGGCGTTATTTTAAAACGAATAACAGTCAAAAATTCTGATGACTTTAAAATATTCGACTCAAAGATTATGAAAATACTAAAGATGTACATAATAGATCGATATAATCAACATTTATTGTAAAAAGTGTTTTCTACAAAAATAGCCTTACTCTTAGCTGCATTGGGTTTCCAGACACATTGTGTGTCCAAAAGCCAGCACGACTCCCTTCCCCATACCGCCCTGAGCGATAGGGATCATTGAGATTCGCTCTATAACCTTTCCTCTCCCCTTCATGGGCAAGTTTTCATACCTTTTCTTTCTTAGTATTTGTTTGTTTCTTTTTTTAAATTGTAATGCCTGTATGTATCCTTTGTCTTTTCCTATTTCCCTAGCTACTTTTCTAAACGTCTCAATTGCTTCCTTGTCACTCATCATGTTTTATTTTCTCATCTCTAGGCCTATCTTATCCAAGACATATTCCTGTTCTCACCTATTTGTCTCCTGAAGTGAGCAATTTATAAATACGTACGTGACTCGTGGTTTTTATTTCTCCACATCTACATACTTCCTCTTCCACCTGGTGAAATCTTCACGAAATCGCCTTGAAATTTTCAATGTCCAGTGACAAACTGCGTTTCATAATGGCCCATCTCCCAATCTTGTTCCAGTCTCTTTCTGATGTTAGGTATAAATACGAACGTTTACCTTTAAGACGTTAACATAGAACACTCTGCTCCCAACGCATTTGCCACTCATCTAATATCTCCTCTGTTCTGTTTTCAAATTAGTCCTGCCCTCCTCCTTGTCTTCCAAAATTAACAGCTTATGCCAGTGATTATCAAACAGTCCTAAATTGAATGTGAAATCTTCTGGTGACTGTTGGAGAGCACACTTAAACCCAGCACAGAAGGGTGCTTGCTGTATTCGGCTATCAACGACAATAGTATTATTTGTATTTCGTTCGCGTCTATCACTTAAAGTTCGTTGGCCTCCTCCTATTGGCCGTCCTGGTCAACGTTTTATAGTCTCCAATATGTCGAACGTTTTTTTGGTTAAGTATGTTTTGATTTTGTGCAAAATTTTAGTATAACCATCTGTTTCAAATATTACTGTCAATTTGAAAGTATTCATCTGTTCAAATCTTAACAAACATTTTCTCCCTAAGAATAACATGGGAACTTTGAAGGCCACTGGGACAGAGCCCTCATGGAATTCCAACGTTTTTTTGTTTGATGGCAAAACTACATGCTAAGACCTTTCTAACGACCTTGAAACTGGTGATCGGTAGCACCACCACTCCAAAACAATTATGACAAAAATATGCCAAGCGTATTAAATATAGATTTTTCCAAAATATCTACCAAATATTACAACTATTGAATTGTTGTCATGTTTAATTACGTAACAACATTGTAAAAATTTCATAAGGTAGTAATGAGAATAAATTTTCCCAGGGGTTCCAATAATATTCAAGTTATTCATTCTTAACATGCCCCATTCACATGATTCATTCTTAATAATCCCCTTCAGGATCTAATTGATGCTCAGAAAATTATAGGCTAATACAATTTTTAAGGGTTTGAAAAATCTCTAAAACACCATTCCTTTAACACTAGATTGGGTTAAGAAAAAACTAAAATCTTACTGTCAAAACATATATTTACAACAAATTATATTCAATTGTTATTGTTTCCTAGCCTTATACTCCTGCAACAACTCTCTAAGTCCATTTAAGAAGTCGTTGTTAATTTGTGTCAGTGCAGCGCTCTGTCGCTGGATTAGCCTTTTTTCCCAGGCTTGCTGCTGAGCCAACTCTCGCTGTTCCTCAGCGTGATCCTGCTCTCGTTCCTTATCAGATACCCGAAGCACCATTGCCTCCCAGTCCTTGGTGAAATTCTTCAACACGTTAGAATACATTCCATCTTTTGTCTTCTGTTTTGCACGACCTTCTACCGCCTTGACTGGAAAAATTAAAACCTTTAAACCTTTGTTGATTATTGAAAACTAGGCATCCTATTTTCATTATAAAATAATAATACCCCGCCGCAGCAAACCTGCAGACTAAGCAAATTTCCAATTTCAGGGGCTGGATTTCTACTAAAATATTCCCTAAAAACTGTCAGATTTATTTCCTATTTGAAAAAATTAACATTAATTTTAATAAGTACTTAGGTTTGCTGCTACAGGGAAGGTAGATGTGTTTTTTATTGAAATGTTGATAGCTTATTATGAAATAAACAAAATTGCCAAATTTGATTATATCTCAGAGGCTATAGACAACCAAACTGCAACAGTTTATTCTGCATAAGAATAACGGGAATTTTAAATTTACAATTTGTTGAATTATCTCCGTAACCGTTAGGCAAACAACAATGCTTGAATATACAAAATTATTTCTTTTTTAAGCTCTACTAAATGGTTTAGAAATAAATTGCAAAATTATACGGTATGTTTTTGGGGTGAAAAATGGGGAAAACCCAATTTTTGACCCAATAACGCCCCATAAACCCCTGTTCCCATATTCCGTTTAAAGATCTCTATGACATATTTCAGTGCCAGTACCAACCTGTCAATACTTAATATTACAATTATTTTAATTCCACCAGCAATCATATAATCTTAATAACAAAGCAATTCGTCCCAAAGTAGTGTTAAATCCACAAGTGAAAAATTAAACAACTAGGCCTAACACATTCTATATATTTTTTTTTTTATAATATTGTTTTTGGTACTAATCATACCGAGGCCACTATCTTAGAGCACACTGCAGCGGTTAAGTTCATCTTAAAACCTTAACTAGTTTACCATCACAGCCCACTTTAAAATAATGTATAGGCCTAACTTATATTACCGTACCTGAGTAGCAATTTTTTTTTGTTTTACCCAGAAAAACAGGTATACTTACATTGCGTCTTTTGGATTATTGGTTCTTCTTTAACTGGTTCAGCAACCGGAGGGGATTCAATGACCGCTGGTTCTTTGTTTAGCTCTTGTGCAAATTTTATAAGTTCCTCCTGAGGCATATTTTCATCTATTTCTATGAGGACATATTCCTCTGCATTGTCAGGTGTGCCTGTAAAATAAACCTAAATAAATAAAGCTCTAGTAGGAAACTTGTACCGGTTGTACTTGTACAGTGTTTATTCAATATTACATGGACCTGTAAAGCAGATTAACAATACAGATTTGTGGTGTCGGTCGACCTTGTCAAAATACAAAAAAACCGGCATTTGGCCTCAATGCAGGAGCCATCTCGAGGGCAACTTGACTTACACCGTTGTCATATGTAGCAAGTGGAGTTAGCAGGTTCAAATTACCGTTGAATTTTGAAAACCATTTAAAAATTTGATAAAAAATAAATGTATTAGTAACTTTGAAAAGTCCAGCACTCACTACTGATGCTTGTTGTTGAAGCGATGCAAGCAAATTGCAGGATGATCTGGGCAGGTTTCATAAAAGGTATTGACTCTTTTAGCTCTTTTCCTGGCTTCCATTCATCCAATCTCATCTACAAGAGCTTCATAACAAGGTCGACATAGTTTCCTGCTGTTGTGAACCTTCTTCTCTAAGGGTGTACTTCACCAAGTTCTGTCGCCTAGAGGCTTCAGGCAATGGTTGTAGATGTGCTTCATAATTATTAGCTGTAATATACCATCAGTAGCTGAAATAAGCTTCTTGATTGGTTCTTCTCTGAACTGTAGCTTCCCTTATTTCCTTCTTCCTTCATGGCCAACATTGAAAATAACAAATGAAATTGACACATGTCCCAAGAAGAAGTAGAACTTGGCCTATGATCTTTTAATTAAAAATCAATTGTGTCTTGTAACACATAAATGTTCTGCTAAGTTAGCCTGATACACTGATTCTTCTTGGATTCAAAATTATAAATGTCAAAGTAAACCCCCAGACACAATGGTCTAGGCTAATAAAGGACCTAAAGGCAGGATTTAGAAAAGAAGTGCAACCTATAGCCAAATGCTAGTTTATGTTTTTGGAAGAAAATAACGTTGGGGACAGTTTCTTAACTGGGCTACCGGTACGCTAATACTTAATAGCCTAATCAATATTTTAACTATAGGCCTAGGCCTAGGTATCAATTTAAAATTGATATACCCTGATTGAATTGAGTTTGGTTAGTTAGGTTAGGTTATGACAGTTTCATTTTAACCTAACCTAACAAACCAAACTTTCTGATGGTAAAAAAGTTGAATAAAGGTTTACCGAGTAAATCGGATCGATTGTTTCAATCGATATTAGCGTAGACCAGTTATGAAACTGTACCCTAGTGTTCATCCTAGGGTTAACTAGCATAATATGAATAGGCCTAAGTTACGTTAGCCTAGTTTCAATTTCCTATACGCCTACATGAAACTAAACCAAAGTAGGCCTAGGCCTAATTAATTGCCGTCATTAGAATCAGAATCTTACCTTCAACTATTATATATTGTTGATTTTGTTGCTCCATCCTAACTGGTTAATCTGCTTCAGTAGTAAAAAAGTTAAAATTACGATAGGCCTAGATCTGTTAGAGAAGTGTGTTATTGTTGTGTTAGTGTATTGTACACGTATAGTAAATAGTCTGAAAGCAAATTGTTTTGTTAACTACTTAGGCCTGGCCTTTGATGAACTTATGCCTGTCAAGCGGTATCGAAACTGTTGCGATACATGTTGAGTAAGTTTTTCCTGAATAATAAGTAAGTAAGTAGTGATGTAAAATACCCGGGTATTTAAAACTCAGGGTAAATACCCTGGGTATTTACCCGGGTATTTTGGGTATTTATGAAATCGATTGAAATTCATTTATATTCACCCCTAAATATGTTATTGTTATCATTACATGAAAAATAAGGATAGTCTATAACACCTTTTGCTTTTACAGTAACTTGAAGCTTTGCTATTATTTTTTATTTAATGATTTAGCACTTTTTTTAATAAAACATAAAGTTTTTAAATAAGAATGGGGTTTAGTTTTTTAAGAAGACAACACCTCATCAGAAACGCTAAAATAGTGAACCTAAACCTACTTCTACTGTTATTAAATTATGATAGTTAAAAATTAGAATTTTTATCGTATAAACAGCTTGGAAGGCTAGACAGACCTAAGGCAGAATGGCAGAATACTAAAAGTAATTAAACTTTTCTGTGTTACCGCTTATTTGGAAACGATAATATATTTGGATAAACCTACAAAAAAATGTATCTCCTGTTTTTTGGTCTAACTTATTATAATTTTAAAAGATTTATTGTGCTATAAATTTAAATGTTTTGTATCACAAGTTTATGAAATTAGTTTTTTTTTTAATTTTGATACCATTGATACCAACAAAAGGCCTAGAACAAAAATATTATTAAATCCTGCCATCCTACAGACTGAATTTGAATTATTTTCTTAAGTTGTTTACATGCCTAGACCACTACTAGGTTAAATTTTCATGTATTTATAAATAATAATTATTACTTTGCAAATTATGTTTCTTCACTTTCAATAAAATAAATTCATCCATCTATCATAGAAATTAAAAAATCATAAGTAGTCAGGACCAGTGCAACCATGCGACCAGGGTATTTATGCCGATTATGCTTTATGCTCAGACCTGGGTATTTATGGCGATTGTACCCAGAAGTAAAATGTTAGTAGTGACCATATGAAATTTTGTTTAACACATTTTATCATCATTTTACTATCCTTACAGGGTGATAATTGAAAAAAAAACATCTCAATCTTCTCTAACTTTAATAAAAATTATAAATACCCAGTTTTTGGGTATTTACCCGGGCCTGGGGTAAATTCCCGGGTAAATACCCAATTTATATTTACCTACCCACTGGGTATTTACCCGGCCCACATCACTATAAGTAAGTAATAACTAACAGTAATCAAACACTATTGCAAAAGATCCAAACCAAAACAACGGTTTTGGGTTTACTGTATCGCAGAGGATACGCGTCCGGTAACCGGACGTGGATTAGGCGTCCGGCAGTTACTGTCATAACCTAACCTAACCAACCAAACTTGCTGATAATTAAAAAATCAAATGAAGGTTCAATTCTCTTCATAACATAAAATTATAAATGCCAAAAATTCTAACAAAAGATGTACAGTTAAGAATAAATTACATTCAAAGCAAAATCTGTGACAAAAATTTAAAGAAACCGATGGGTTTCGAACCAGGGACCTCTAGGATATCAGCCGAGCACTCTATCCACTACACCACGAACAACGCTGACCGAACATCGTATCGTTGTGGTAATGGCGTTCCGGGACCCCACAACCCGGTGACGTCACTACCGGACGCCTAATCCACGTCTGGTTACCGGACGCGTATCCTCTGTGTTACTGTATTTAGTAGTTGACGGTTGTTGTTATTGTCGTCTGACTCTGACTGAGACTGAACTGAGTGAACTGAACTGAACTGAACTGAAATTAAACTAGATGCTTGGGATTGGGATGGGATTCTACTTTAATTTGGTATTTACTCAGGGGAGGTACGGAAGAGGCTACGATGACCCCTTTAATTTGACATTCGATTTTTTCATTGGACGGTTAATGGCAGACTTTAAGCTTGCTCCATGAGCTCAATTATTACTTTAATTTTGCACTTGATTTGTTTACTTCTTACCATAGATTATTAAATATTGTATTATTAAGACTGATTAATTTTGATGTTTTCAATGTAAATGATTTCTCATTATAGTTAATGCACCTCTTAATATAATATTTGATGTATAATTATTTATTTTCAAAAGGATCTATCCAAATCATATTGTTTCCAAAAGTTTACTGTAGTAGGATATTTCAATTAATGTAGATAGCACTGCTATTGCTATTCCTTATAAGACACGTGAACGTGGAATGGATTGTTGTTGATCAACTATTATGATAATTTTTTTACTTATAAATATAATGATAATATACCAATTTTTACAATAATGTATAAATAAAATATTGATGAAAATTATGATAATTGTATTTGATATAGTAATATACATAAAACTGAAAATAACTGTAGAGTGTAGATGGCTGTGGTGCCACCTGACAGCCGATGCCGATGCACGTCAAGCTTTTGTGGATGATCAAGCTATAAGAAAGAAGGAACAAGGAAGAAGCAAGAAGGGAGGAGGTTAACTAACTTAGCCATTATTATCGGAAATTGTTTAGTTGTAGTGTCTATTCAAAATTCATACAATGAGTTCCAAGGCTGAAAAAGAAAAGCTAAAACAAATTCAAGATAAATGCCAGACGCTTCTAAACCAAATGTTAAGGGATGAAGACAACAAGTATTGTGTAGACTGTGATGCTAAGGGTAAGTAAGTCAACATGTTTGTCATTTAGTTAGCTGAATGGATGGAAACCTGTAAAATAAGTATATTTTATGTAAGCTAATGAATTATGATATTGTTTTATCAACAATTTCTGTATCAATATAGGTCTAATTTCTAGACAGGAATAGCCTAACTAAAACTTTGGTCCAGGCTAGGTACATTTTTTGTATATTAACTTAAGGTACCTCCCAGTTTCAAGAACTTTAATTACTGGTTAAATCTATTATTGTTGCCTTCGTTCTTGAGTTGAGCGGTTTGTATTCACAATAAGTAACCCCACATTTATTTCACCAGCCTGGGTGGGATATATCTTGTGGGGGTCTTCTATCTTTATTTCACTAACGCTACAAATATTGTCTAATTGCTAAGTTATTTACACATAGGTGTAGTATTTTTACATCCATCACTGGTTATGCGGTCGTACCAAACGGATGACGTTGCAACGGAAATACAGCGAAGTCACGGGTCTTTCCCTGCCGTTTCGTTTTTTGTTCTAGTGGTATAGGAATTTCGGGTAAGTTATTGGACAGTTGAGGCCCTTTCCAGGTTAATGACTTGGCATATACTGTGATCTCTGTAGTGTTGTCGATTCGTTGTTGTGTTTCCAGTTTTGTTAGTTTCAATGTCGTAGATCAAATTGATGATAGTGGACTAATGTATTATTCTTAATGGTTTTGGAGGGTGTGCGATCCATTAATGAGATAGGTCCATTAATGGTGGAAGAAATTATCTTTTGGTGTAGCCTTTGTAGGCTAAAGAATGTCCCAGGGTGACTTATTTGCCTTGCTTGACTTATTTCCTGTTATTTATCCGAGGAACATAGGGCAGCAACCAGACCTCTCCAGCGTATTTGATTGGGAGCAATTCTCTTCACCTCCAGCCATGACCTTCCAGCCTGCCGCAGCTCTTGTTACAGGGTGGTTTTTGATAACATACACCTACCCTACATCTATACATCTATACAGCGTAGGGTACATCTATCACCTCTCCAATTCTTCTTTTAAACTTAACTTTATCCGAATACCTCGGGCACTATTCTGTTACAGAGTAGTTTACAATAAATTATGTATACACCTGTCCCATTTTCAGTTTAACTTTTCCGATTCCCTCACTATTTTTAACCCATTTATGAGTTTTTATAAATGTTAGGCCTACCTTTTTTGTATTATCCTAAACATTAATCCAAAACTACATGGGATTTTCCCCGAAATAGGTTAAATTAACCTATACAAACTGATTATGGGATCTTAGTGATATTTACCAGCGAAAACCAAATTGGATGTTGTGGTTGTGTCATGTTCGACTGAAATGGAGCATTGTTATTGGTATCCTTGAATGTCATAACGATTTGTTGCTGTGTTTACTCAGTCATGTGACTGAAATGGAACATTATTATTGGTCTCTGTGATTTCTTTGTCTACGACTTTCTCCTTCTTCCTTTTCAGTTTGGGAACTGAAATGGTGGACATAAGCTAGTACATTGCAAACTGTAATAACTATTTCTTGCGATACTATAATTGTGTATGTTTGCGTTATTTGGACATTAAGCCTACAGTATTGCGTTACTTGTAAAAGGTGGAGCGCTTAATGGGGGAAAGTACAGTAATTGCACTGGATGTGGGAACATGTGTTTGCTGGACAAAGTTTTGCTATCATCGGATTTCAATTCACAATCAGAAGAGAAAACAGTGATCATTTAATGTACCCGGGCAGGCAGGGTCCATTATGGACAGGTTAGATTTGGTTAAATGTTTATTGTTGTTCTAGTATGAAATTGTACCAACAAATATTGGAATACTTTTTATATTATATTCAATCATTGGAGGAAGTTTGGTTAGTTGTGTTAAGTTTTTTTCAAGATTTTTGTTTGTGTGTATATCTCTTCGCCACAGATTATTTTCCTCTAATACCGTGTATATAATATACACCTTCTACACAATTTCATACTTACTGGAATCATTATTTTGGTGACGTGGTACTCGCACATTTTTCCAAGTATTTTAATTTTGTTAGAATTTTTTCATTTTATATTTTCTTAGATCCAAGTTTTTTTTAAGTTTTCTAAAATTTTAGAAAAATGTTGTCAGCAAATTATGAAATTTACAAAGAATCAATCATTTGGCAACAACATTTTTCTTCCTTATTTTATATTGGTGCACCGTATCTTTTTACGCACCAAGTTTGGTGCGGCTTTTAGTTGATTGTTGTATTTATTTATTTAGTAACATGTCAGCCAAATCAATTTTATTGTCGCAAAATGTTACAGTAATCTAAATCATTATTTAAATGCTTTGTTTTCTTCCCTTTTATTAGCCATTAAATTTAATTTGTTTTTCTATCTGAGTTGGTTTTGTAAAATACTGGTACAGTGAGAAAATTGAAATATCTATTGAGAGAAGCCATTGCTTTGCTTCGTGATAAACTGTCATCTGTTTAAAGTCACATCAGTTATCAAGCGTTGAGTCATTTTGTCAAGACTAATAGGGCAC